CAACGCGTAAATGGTTAGCATACACGTTATTCTGTAGGCTAGCAAATTCAAAACATAACTTTCTGGTGTGAACTGAGCTCCAACTCAAATCAGTCAATCAGCGAGTAACCAGCCACACAAGAAAAAGAGGAACGATTTCAATATGGAGAAATGGATACGTAGCAGACGCATTAGCATGGAGATGTTGGCGCCTTTCTGTCTTGAGTTGCAGGATGTTCAGTTTCTTGTGATGGAAGGGTGGAAAGGCTGCCTGAAGGAGTGCTAGCCAGAGCTGGAGTCACAGCAGTGATGGGAAAGGGGTGGGGCTGAGGACCACCTTGAGGATCAGGGGCTCAATGAAAGGGATGCTGGGGAAAACGACATAGATTGGTGAGACAACAGAAGTGTGGGGCTTAGCAAGAACTGCCCTCAGGATTCCCGGATGGTGGAACGAGCTCAGAGGCACGAAACTTGCTCCCAGGAAAGGTTCTGTTTGCATAGGGAGGATCAGGATTAAGACTTTGGCCATTAGACAGGGCTCTCACCCTCCTTTCACCCACATCAGAGTCCCTTGACGTTGCCCATCGTCGACAGCCTAAAGCCTTCGACCATCGATGTGACTCGTCTCACATCAGTGTTTTGGGGTTGTGAACTTGTCTAAGACCCCCCATAATTAGACATCCAAATTCAAAACTCACATAGTTGGGATTGAACATAAGACGCCTTCTCTAACTAAACAGAGAAAGGGGAGATGCCAGAAGCCAGGACCCTCGCCCTTACCCTTACCCCCTACCCTTCCCCACCTGTACAATGTCCTCTGAAGCTTGGCAACTGCAAGATCCTGCTTAGCAACTGCAGATAGACTCAAAGCAGAGTACCATGTCTTCTTAAGAATAGCAGGGAGACCATAACTCAAGCAGTGTACCATATCTTCTGAAGAACAGCAGGTAGATCATAATTCAAGGCAGTGTACCATATAGACCATGACATGTTTCAAGGCACAGGCCAAGAAGATTTTGTACTTTTCCACCACCTGGACCCTCTTACCCCCTCCCCTTGTAAAACATGCTATAAAAAAGCATTTCATGTTCAAAAAAAAAAAAGAAATTAAAAAAAAATTTTTTTGAGATTATAATATAAAAAAAAAAAAGACTTTGGCCATTGGTGGCATTGGCTAATTTACCTTGAGGTTTCTCACTTTGACCTCAGAGACCATTCGGTAGCCATTTCTAACACTATGTTTAGCGTTTCCTCTTCAAAACTGAGGACTTATATTTTTTTCCAGGAATTTATAAATATTTCTTTTCTAGATTAGAAATATTCTCTTGGACTTAGAATTGAAGTTAAGTGCAAAATAGGCACATTTATGCTCTCGTTTTCATACGTCCACAGAAATGATTCGCTCTCAGGGTCATAAACCCAACGAGGCTGACCACCAGCTAGGTTATTACTCCTTAGTGATTTTTTTTTAATTTTGAGGTATATAGAGATGATTTTATGGCTATTTTCTAATTTAACTGCAGTCACAGTTAATTGTTTACAGTATAGCTTCAGCCCCAAAGCCCATGTCAGAGTGAACTGTAGGCTACTGACTTTCTCTTCTGTCACTATATAAGATGAGCTAAAAAAAAAAATACAATAAGTCCCTTAAAGAGATAATGGGAAGAAAGAGTTAGTAAAGTGTGTGGGTCTATGTAGAGCATGCCAGAGACTGTAATTTTATTTTGTCAAAAGGGTACAGATTATTACAATGCATACTCATAATTCCAGCTCTCAAGAAGTTGAACCTTAGCTACACAGTGGGTTATGGGTTATCCTGGGCTACACACACCACCACCACCACCACCAGCAGCAGCAGCAGCCAAAAAACAAAGACAGAGAAAAGAAGGAAGAGGAGAAAGAACAAGAGAATCGATGCAGGGTGGTTCAGGTTCCAGCTGACACTGGGCAGAGGGACACACCAACATGTCTTGGGTGTGCCCAAAGTCCCAGGCCCTTTGGAACTGTTTGGATGGTTAGATAATGTTAAAACATTGTACAGAGTGTTGCTATATTTGATTTTAGATACATTTAATGGTACTTAGTGCAAAGCTGGGTGACTGGAGTTTGATCCCCAGGTTCCATATGCACCTGGTGACTTCCATTCGTTGTCCTCTGACTTCCACTTACATGCTAGGGCATGGCTGAGTACACACACTAAATTAAAAATACAAAAATATCCCAGAAGCTGTGAGGAAATGTCTATAGCAAGCAGCTGTCCTGATGCAGTTTTAATTTTAAACGTGTGTGTGTGTGTGTGTTTGTGTGTGTGTCTGCGCGCACATGTGTATGCAGGGCCCTCAGAGTTCCTAAGAATAATCAGATCCCTTGGAACTGGAGTTAAAAGCTGTTGAGGTAGGTGCTGTGAACCAAACTCTGGTCCTCTGGAAGAGGAGCAAGTGTTCTTTTAACTGTTGAAACATTTCTCCAGCCCCCCCCCCCACCTCCGGGTCCCCCAGGTTTATAGAAAGATTCCCGTTAGTTAAACCACATTTAAAAACACTCTATAAAATAGAATGCAAGCAAAGTAGATTATATATACCATGATTTCTCTAAAATATCCACCAGGTTTCAGTTTTCTTGAATTTTTCCAAATTTTGGTTTTGTTGAAAGTACTTATTTTGGGGATACAGCTCCCCTGTTAGTACAACATGCACATTTTTGAACTTGTCTTTTCTTTGTCATCACACAGTCTCCATTTTTTTTTTTTTTACAATTAACTGTCCTCTCAAGTTGTTTATCTCTTTAAGATATTTGCACTTCCATAATCCAGCAGCCATTTTCTCCACTGCTGCTTCAAAAAGAACAGAACATAGACTGTCTTTTTTTGAAAGCTGTATAAGCCATTTGGGAAAACAGAAAGAACAGAAATGTAAAGGAATAGACTGGCAGACTCCGAAGAATAGTTTGCACTCATGACAGGTGTTTATGAGAAACAATAGCGAGAAGGCACAGAAACAGGAAACTGCACGCGTCCTTTTCCGGGAGGCAAGGGAATTCATCTCTGGTTTTAGTAAAGACTAACTTGGATTAAAAGAAAGTTGCAAGTCCCAGTTGTGATGGTGCACACATTAGATCCTAGCACTTGGGAGGCAGAAGCAGGCAGGCAGAGTTTCAGGCTACCTTGGTCTATATACTGAATTCTAGGACAGCCATGGCTACATAGTGAGATGCTCTCTAAAAAGCAAAAACAAGAACAAAACAAAACAACACACACACACACACACACACACACACACACAGAGAGAGAGAGAGAGAGAGAGAGAGAGAGAGAGAGAGAGAGAGAGATTGTAAAAGGATTTGGTTGGTAAATGGGTAGCTACCTCTGAAGCAAAGGAGCGCACTCATACCTTGTGTCAGTGCAACCGTCAAACACTTTCCTCCTTTCTTCCTAAAAAATGTGAGATGAACACAAAATATGTTTAACAACCTTTCGTAGTCATCGGTCACTTTCGAATTTATCACAAATCCCTCATATTTCTTTCACCTAATAAAGCTTCCAAACAGTCTTCTGTTGACTGTTTACAAATCTCCCCTTCAGTATTTGTGTGTGTGTGCTTTGCCATTTTTCACTGAATTAGTTTATATAACGTTTGGCTTTGTTTTCTTATATGACACCAAATAATTGTAAATCAGGCATAGTTTATTTATTAATTAAATGGCTCCCTAGCCACCATCTGTTGTTGATTTCCTATGAAGTAGACATACTTCCTTCCGAAAACATTGAAGTTACAAAGCGCTGGTAATGATCATTTTAGAGATAAAAATTCCATAAACTCAAGTCAGCCACTGACATTCCCTAAGTGCCATTGAGCCAGGGCAGGGGATTAAAGCCGTATCCTACTGTGTGCTCTCGGAAGTAGAGACAGACTTTATCTGCCTAATATTGACCGCAGGGGGTGGGGGTTGGGGAAGGCTGGGTAAATCAGGACTATTCTAGTGACGTCCCGCTTTGTTGTAGGTTTTGCCTCTGTGCTCCCGCTGTCTTCTGACACTGCAATCTCTCTGCTCAATGAAGGGGCACAGTGGTTGGGCCTCCGCAGGACTTCCCACGTACAATGCTCTGAAAGCCAGGGGGCGGCCAGGGTGGAAACGAGAGACTTCAGGAAGGCGTAGCCTGGGAGGGATCTGTTTTCTATTTTCTCCTCTGTATTGAACTCATCTGGATGAGAACGGTTTTCCTGTTTACTATTATCATTACCTGTGTGGGGTATTTTGCTTGCACGTTTATTTCCCCTGTTAGATGAAACCGCCCGTGGGAAGAGTTAGATAATAAATGCAAATTTCAGTGAGAAAACTCCGGGGGTGGGTAGTGGGGGTGGGGCGGAATCCAAGTGCTTTAAAGTAGGCTCCACTCTTCGGCTTTAAAAAAAGAAAAACTCAAAAGTTCCAATTCTACAAGGCAAAGAAAAACTCAGAAGGAAGCAGGGAGGGAGGATGGGAAGGAAGGAAGCAAACTCCTTTTCAAGTTCCTGGGGTCTATTTTTCTCTTGCAGTTTTTTTTTTTTTTCCCTTTGTGAATGTCAGTTTCTCCACAGTTATTCCAATCACAGATCCCTGGAGTCATTAGCTCTCCAAAGGGCTCTGCCATTGCTCTCAGGAGGCTGCGGTCTCTGCGACGTGGACATTTAAAGTGACTTTGCTCGCGCCTTCCAGCCTGACTTTCTGCAGGCGGAGGTGCGCTCGAGTTTGCTCTGAGGAAATAACTGCGAGGAGCTAGGGACAGTGTGGGTTCGCGGGGCGGGATTCAGGGGTGCGCATCTCTGTGGTGCGTTGAGACCGGTTCTCTCGTGGGAACCAAGGGTTCATCTATGGAGCCGGAGCCGGGTGTGGAGTAGGGAAAGGTGCGCGGCTCCTGTCGGGAGCTGCCTAGGGCTACAGCATCACAACTAGACCGAGTCTCACCCTCCAGTCCCCTGAAAACTCAGTCTTCCCGGGAGGAGGAGCAGGAGGGCAGGGGATCGCGGGGCGGAGCTCTTGTCAGCCGAGGTGGGAAGGCACAGCTGCGAGCCAAGGCTCTGACCTCCTCTGAGCTCCTCCGGCCGCTCGCAGGATCTTCCCGACCCTGCAGGACTTGGCAAACTCCTACCTCCGCTCCCATTAGTTCCCCAACCCCCACCAAGTCTCCTCCTTCAGGGTCCCCCATCCATCTCACTTTGCAGAATTTGACGCTTCTTCTAACACCTTTTTGTAACACCCCAGAACTTCGAGTCCCTTAATTGAATTTGACTTTTGTTTTTATTTCTCTGGCTTCCTCTTCTGCCCCCTCATCTGATTGATGTGCGAAGGCTGATGTCTCTGCCAGAGCGAGAGGAATAAATAGATGCTGCCTCTCCTAGAGGCTTAGACGTTTGGGAAGAGCAGCCAGCGCAGCAAGGCACCGGGCTCCGCCAAGCTCGTGGATCGGACCTGGGAGGACTTGGATCCAAGAGAACTGTGATTGTCCCGGCGGACAGCTCCTCAGGTTGTGCTCACCCCTCGGGACCGCAGGAGGAGACTTCGGAACTCACCTCTCGAGTTCGTCACCCGGCTGCGCCCTGCCCCATCCTTCTGGGACCATGGTCTGCCGCGGCCCGGGACGGATGCTGCTGGGATGGGTCGGGCTGCTAGTCCTGGCTGTTCTCTGCCTGCTCCAGGTGCCCGGAGCGCCGGCAGCAGCCTGTGAGCCTGTCCGCATCCCCCTGTGCAAGTCCCTGCCCTGGAACATGACCAAGATGCCTAACCACCTGCACCACAGCACCCAGGCTAACGCCATCCTGGCCATCGAACAATTCGAAGGGCTGCTGGGCACCCACTGCAGCCCGGATCTTCTCTTCTTCCTCTGTGCTATGTATGCACCCATTTGCACCATCGACTTCCAGCACGAACCTATCAAGCCCTGCAAGTCTGTGTGTGAGCGCGCCCGACAGGGCTGCGAGCCCATCCTCATCAAATACCGCCACTCGTGGCCAGAAAGCTTGGCCTGCGAGGAGCTGCCGGTGTACGACCGTGGCGTGTGCATCTCTCCCGAAGCCATCGTCACCGCGGACGGAGCGGGTGAGTCCTGAACTTTGCCCGACCTCTGAGGAGAAGTTAGTTATTTGCCTTTATTCTCTAGCTCGCTCTTTGCTCCTCTGAGCACTTAACTTTCCCTTTAAGCACTCCTCTATTGAATCCTGTTCTTTTCCTTAAAAGCAAAACAAAAACCAATTTACCTTTATCATTCTCCCAAACAAACTCAAGTCTCTCCCAACAGGTGATCTGATCCATCCGTTCCTTTGAACCTCCAAAGCTCTATTTCCCTTCCCACTCTTTGCATGTGAGAATTAGCTGAATTACACTTAACATTTAACTTTCTTCTCTGTTTCTTGGTTGATTCTTTTGCAATCTCGATCGATCGTAGGGTTGCTATACCTTTAGTGTTTTCACGGCTTGCAATTGCATGGAGACATCAGAAAAACGAAAACCCTCATTTTCTTCTAATCATTAAAAGTACTAAGATAATTCCAGTAAACTTCTAACACAGAGATCTATTAGTGACCTGTGTTTGTTCAGAACCCATTTTCGTCGGTTGGTTATCATCATCTTTCAGCAAATTTCCTCCTCCTTTCGACAAAATAGATGGTTAATTCCATTCCAGTCGGAAACAGCTATGAAATAGTATTGCTATGCCCTGCTAATTAACTTCTGTTGCTCACTTCAGTCAGATAGCTAGCTGGGGAACTGAAATAGCAGGCCCTTTTCTCATGCCCACGTGCCTTCAAGTCATTTTGTATATGGCATATGGGTGAGTGAAGTTATATTTGGGGCATGTCATCTTCATAGCCTTCTATGACTGTGTTTAATCTCATCCATTATCCTACCCATACTGTGTGTGTACATACCAACCACACATTCACACTTTCCCACTATAAGACTGTATTATAGCTCTACATTTAATGGGTTTAATCACAATTTGTTTTCTCACAGATGTTTGGTCAAATTGTGACATTCATAACTTCAAGACCAGCCAGTTCAAAGTAGAATATTTTCAGTAAACTCGACATTCCCTACTAGGTAACCCAAGATTCAGATTTTATCCTTCATGTTCTTTAAAGAGAAAGCGTGAACAAACAAACTAGTGACCCTCTCTCAGTACCTCCCAGGATCAGCTGTTAAGTGTGTCTCACTTGGTTGTTCCGTCTCTGTTCATTTCCTTCTGGTTCTCAGCTTGCTCAAACTAGGCTCATGTCCTGAGTCCATAGTTAACGAATCAACAGGGCTGATTCAGAAAAATGGCCTTCATTAACTAAGAGAAGGGAAAGGCAGGAATAGTTGAAAACCAAGACTGAACAGAAAGATCTCACATCTTTCTCATAGTCAATTCATTTAGCATATCACTACAGATATAGGTACTGTCTTCTTAATATCAATAATGAATCAAAGTCTAGTTTTATAAGGCAATCTGAAAGAAACACATTCTTTTTACTGTTGGGTAAAAGGAAACTCTGAACCCTTGCACTGACTAACGTCCCAGGCCCTCCAGACATTGCTTGTTAGAGTTCAATGCAGTTGCTATCCTGCCTTGACAGACACTGTTAAAGTCAGTCAAATGCTAGCCCTCCTCTCTGGCCAAGCACTAGGAGGAGTGCATTTCACGCTGAAATGCATACTTCCCTTAGAAGACAAACTGCTCCTAAGCCTAAGCCTAGAGGAGGACCTGGAAGGAGTGAGGTTTGGCAAGGCTCTCAAAGGCCACGGTCTATGTGGATAGAAAGCAGTTTCATTAAGAGTCCCTGAGTTGGGCTCAGTGGTTAAGACTGACTGTTCTTCCAGAGGTCCTGAGTTCAATTCCCAGCAACCACATGGTGGCTCACAACCATCTGTAATGGGATCTGATGCCCTCTTCTGGTATGTCTGAAGGCAGCTACAGTGTACTCACATACATTAAATAAATAATATTTAAAACAAAAGAGTCCTTGAGTTACCCCCAAATAGACATACATAGAGACAATTCATCATTCCCAAGGATATGATTGCTGAGTGTCTCTGAAGTTCTTGTTTTACTGACAGCAGCGCTGGAAGCAAAGCACCTGCAGACAGGAGGTAATCAGTATGCTGCCACCCCTCGGTTTCCATAGGAAACAGAAACCATGAGGATGAGGTTGGTCTGAGAGGTCCCCTGGTTTCCAGTCTGTTGAAAATTACACATTACCTCTGTTCGGTGAAGCTGCCAGACACCCGGAATTACTTAAGATGGTGACATGAGGATGGAGAGATGGTTCAGTGGTTAAGAGCATCGACTGCTCTTCTAGAGGACCTTGGTTTGATTCCTAGTACACATATGGGAGATTAGTAACAGTCTGTAACTCTCCTTTTGGAAAATTTGATGCCCTCTTCTGGAGTCCATGAGTACTGCACACATATGGTGCACAGATCAACACAAGCAAGTTTAGAGTGCAGAACCAGATGCTGAATCTCTATTCAAACTCCATGGGCATTGCATGCATGTGGTGCTCAGACATACAGGCAGGCAAAACACTCATATACACATCACATATCACCATTCTAATTAATTTACTCTTTGGTTTATTGGGATATAATAGTTTAAAATTGTTTGTCTGTTTATTTCTCCTTCAGGCCTATGCAGAATTGCTCTGTCTTAGGACTAGATCCTATCTAACCTAAGATATGAAAATGAGATCTCTCTTGAAAGAGTGGTACAACCTTTCATATTCCTGTATCAAGAGGATTTTAGCTCATTCATACCATTCATGGTGATCTGTCTGCACCTAATATATTGTGACTCAGCAAATAAGCTTAGGGCATTTAACAGAGCCAAGTTTCAATGAAACATACTGATGCTTCAAACCTTTTTTTTTTTTTTTTTTTTTACTTCCAAAACACCGAGAGTCAACATAGCATCATAAAGAACAGGTGACTCATTGACGATCACATAATTTCATATTAAGTTTATTGTGTATTTTGTGTTTACTGTAAAGTGTGACTTTGGGCACTATTGTTTGTGAACTCAGCTCAATTTGGCCATTCTGCCGGTTAGTTGAGACACTTGGGCAAATTTGTGGTGCTGAACCGGGTGCTAAATCTCTACATGAGTCCATGCCTACTCCCGCTATAAGAAAATGCTACAACCCCTTCAACCCTTACCTGTAAGTAAAGACAAAGGTGTTTGCATCTTAAGGGCACGGTGAAGACTAGACGGTATGTGAACTGGCTGAGTGAAACCCGGGGCAGAGAGATCACTGAACAAATCACTGATGTTATTTTCCTATTTTTAATGCTGCTTTATCAACCTGACTTTTCCTTTTCCTTTTTAACTTGCTAATTGCTGCAGACACAGTCTCATACTCTTATTACTTCATCCCTGGAGAGCAGGATTTACACTCAGATTTAATTGCTGAAGCAACTTGTATTTCTCCCGAATACAGAAAATTAGTATTTCATTTCATACAAATCAAGCTGGAACTCGAGTTAAGAAGTTTACTCCTACGTGAATAATAGAAAAGAGTCAGTTTGATGTCTGTTAACTAGAAATAGTTTATTAGGGGAAGAAACTCACAAGCATCTGCCCCTCTCTGAGGACTTATAAGCAGTTAACGGAGGCAAGGGTAGGGTAGGGGTGAGGGGTGGAGGTGGATCTGGGGGTTCCACCATCCTTTATTATCACAGGTTGTGGTAGCAGGCAAGGAAGACACACTTTCTTCAGTAGTGGCCCCATTTTGCTATAAATAACTCCTCACCCATGCTCCTGAAACTAATCCTAGTTAATCTCACTGGTTCATCAAAAAGAAAAAAAAATCACTATTTTTAAAAAAAGTGTTTTTTTTTTTAAATATTGACTGTGTAAGACAAATGATAGGGTGTTTCACTGCTGTTTCTAGGACCCCTACAGCTTGCAGTGCCAAGGGCTCTATAATCACCCTGTTATTGCTGGCTTCCCGTTAGTACTGCTAGCACTAATATCCCCCGCCCCCACCAGGCTCTTGCACAATATATTCTTCAGGCTCTGGCCTGGCAGAGTCCTGCTACCTTTCACATGCAGAAATGGCTACTTAATCATCTCTCCACTCCCCAAGGAACAGGCGGCCTTTTCTTTAGCGTTAGCCCTGGTCTACAAATATTTGAGGGGCCAAATACTGAGAAGGAAGGATCCGAACAAGAACATGGAATGGAAAGGAGGAACAAAAATTTGAAGTTAAGACTAGAAAGAAAAACAGGATTCTAAGGATCTTTCGTCATGTCCATATCAAAAGACACTTTGCCTGGCCTGGGGAGAGAATCTGTGTTATTAATTTTATTTAGAGATAACTCAGTTGTCTATGCTGGTGGAATCTTAGACTGTCCCTAAACTATTATTTTAATCAGTCACCTTTTGTCCTCTTTTTACCGAACTTTGAAATAACTATTTGAAGAGCAAATTTAACCACACCCCCTCCGGCCTTTGTCTCTCTGCTAGGTGTTTAAAAGGACACAAGAGCCACTATGTAGACATGTAATTTTGAATAATGGTACACTAACTTCAGCATATAAACTCAGAGACAGTCACAGCTTCAGAGCTGCAAGCCTTAGTTGGTTTTGTCAGTCATATTGTATTTTTAGTCACTTGACATTGGCGTTGGCCAGCATTGGTGTATACCAAGGGGAATGAATGATTGGTAACAGGTTAAGCACATGCTCAACAGCAGCCACACCAGGGAGAGAGGACCTGCAGTCTTAGGACCAGGGTTCTTAGTGTTGACAGAATACAAGCTGACAACACATATTGTGCTCTAGGCATTGCCATATGAGGTGTACAGGAGTTCTCATTATAGCTACATGGTACCTGTTGTTACTCCCATTTACAGGAAAGAATGGAGAGACACCCAGAGAAGTGACCCGTCAAGTCAACTCTGTGCATGAGAAGACAAGGGTTCAGACCAGAGTCTAGTCTACACTACCCATCTTCCCTTGCTAATAAAAGGGATTTTGATCTTTTTGAAGAATCTGTGTCTTTTGTTCATTAGGTTAAAGTTAAAGGTTCAAAGTATTTTCATTGTGTTGACCCATGACTTAAAAGAATAAAAAGGGACCCAGGACAGTGGGTTCCAAGAGATAAGAAATGGGCTGGTTGTACTACTGAAATAGGGAAGAATGCATCTTCCAGATTCATGTTACGAAAGTCCCTCAGGCTCAGCATGCCCCAGAGCTACTGGCGCTTCTCTAGCATGCTTTTAGTGGTTACAAGGCTTCAGTACTACAGTTATTCAGGTTTAGAAGCCTATTTTGATTCTGTCTCTTTTCTCATCCCTGGTGGCCAGTAGACATATCAAGTGCTACTACTCTATTCAGAATCAGATCTCCTTTCCTCTTCCTCTGTTATTCTCTTTGAGCTCACTGTACCCCACAAGGAATACGACAGTGCATCTGTGGCTGGCTCTTTGTCCTCAGTGTTGCTTTATCCTCTCTGGCATGCTGGTTGTTTAGAAACAGTGTATCTATTGCTTACATCCTTTGGGTCTGCCTCCTTCAGACCCACTCTTCTCTCCTCTCTGTAGATTCACTCTTTGCTTGTCCCATCTCTATTCTAACCAAGCAGGAGGACACACAGTATTCTTACACAGGCTCTTCCTGAAATCTCTGTGATGTCCCTACAAACACTTGAGATACAGAATCTAGCAATCACATAGTATTTACCATTTCCATCCAGGACAATTTTGATGGTAGAATTTCAGATTTTAACTATGTAAAAAATTATTGGAAACCTTTGCATTTCTCTCATACAATTTTAACAATTGAATACTTAGTTTTTAAAAAGGTATAGAAACATCTCTGGCAATAAGAGTATGAAATGAATAAAACCTTCTCTTTGGCTATACTGTCTCAAAGGAGTTCTTTTTTTTTTCCCCCAAGAAGCTTTATTTTTCATTTCATATAAAACTTAAATGCTTGATGTTTTAAGCATGGACTAATATAATTTATTAATCTCTAAGGAGATTATTTAATATAAACTGCGTGCATTTTATCTCATCATTCTTCAGGAATGGAAACATTGCATTTTTTTTTGGGAGGGGGGGTTCGAGACAGGGTTTCTCTGTGTAGCCCTGGCTGTCCTGGAACTCACTCTGTAGACCAGGCTAGCCTCGAAATCTCGAACTCAGAAATCTGCCTGCCTCTGCCTCCCAAGTGCTGGGATTAAAGGCGTGTGCCACCACCGCCCGGCGAAACATTGCATTTTGCTTTAAAACTTGGATACATTTATCATGAACAAAGTCCGAATAGAAAAAGTCATCAGGTTAATGGTTTATGTTTAATTTGAGTCAAGTGCTTATAAACTAGTTTTGGTTGTTTTTCATCTATTTGGAGACCTTTATTTTTTATACAGCTTTTTTTTTTTTGCATGTTAGCTGACAGCCACATATGTAGCTCAGTGGTAGAGTCCATGTTTAGAATACACAAAGCCCTGGGTTTAATACACAACACCTCAAACCCTTCCCCATTTATGTTTTATATGAAGAATAAGGACAGAGAAAGAATGCTGCTTAAGGTTTGTTAGGTTAAGTAGAGACATTGAGCTCATTTAGCATTAAGTCTTAATACAAGCATACAACTCTTAGATGAAAGTGTGAGTTCGGTACCAGCAAGAGTCTTGGTTAGTTACTGTGTCTCTCAGCAGGAGTACACAGTGCAATTCATTAGAGGCTACTCTCCTAATTAGAACACAGAAAGCCATTATCATTTCCATTTTCTGGGACTGGGAGAAGAACCAATGGTGAATCCCAATTATTGCCACATCTATTAATTGTACTAGCTTGAGAGATCTACAGGCCCTAGGCTTCCTTTGTGCTGAACTATTTAGTCTGCATTTAACAAAGGGCCTGGAGTTCTTTCTGGGTTTCCCATAGACACTGTGCCAGGAGAGTATGACACAGCCATTCATTGACAAGGTGTGCTTGGTTCTATCTGTCATAAAGTCACACACGTTGGGTCAGTGCCTAATATTTGTATGGCCTTTGCTGGGATACAACATTCATTTACAGCATTTATGAAATTCAAGAACATGTTATTTATTAAGTGCCAAAATTTTACTCACGGGTGATACCGACTCATGAGCGGTAACTGTCAATCATATCTGAGAAGGGACCTCCTCCTTATTCAACCCCCAATAGTGGGGCAGACTCACAGCCCTAATAAGGGGCCATTTTCTGGAGATAACTGATTCTTAACCAAGTCAAGCTGTTACAGAATTACACTTTATAGGTGATGTCCTGAGGTAATCACTCTGTTACCATTCTTTCTTTATTCTGTTGCCTTCCAGATTTTCCTATGGACTCGAGTACTGGACACTGCAGAGGGGCAAGCAGTGGTGAGTACATGGCTGTTTCTGGCTCTTGTTTGTGGTGCAGTTCATTTTTGATATGGTCTTAATGCCTAAGTTTTACTTGCAGATACTTGTGTTCCATTTTAAAAAATAAACATAAAATAAATTCTGTATCTATGCTGACTTTATTTTTGTGTTAGTGTATTGAAATGGACCTTTTGGTTTACAATTTGCATTTACAAAATGCTAATGAATATATACATTCATGTAACCCCAGTTTTTCAGGATACAGAGTAAGTCTATCATCTCTTCCCATACTCCTTCATGTATAATCTTTTATAATTACAAGTTTCACCTGCTTTTAAGCACTAGCTGTTCTCTGGCACTATAATGTCCTTTGGGATTGTCATATAGGTGAAATTTAGGGATGTAGCTTCAATGATAAAGTATATAATCTTTTTTTTTTTTTTTTTTTTTTGGTTTTTCGAGACAGGGTTTCTCTGTGCAGCCCTGGCTGTCCTGGACTTTATTCTGTAGACCAGGCTGGCCTCGAACTCAGAAATCCACCTGCCTCTGCCTCCCAAGTGTATATAATCTTTTGATCTGCCAATCTGTTTCCATACAACCTGCAACCTGGAAGTGGGTACTGTAGATCTGGTTCCAAAAGTGGAGAGTTCCAATTACTCCTGTCTCTTGCAACCCATCCCTTAAGCCATCCTAAAGCAATGCTAATAGTAATAGCTATTTCAAGTGAGCCTAAAACCCTGACAAAGGGACCCTTCCTCTCTGATTAGGGAGCCAGTGGTGCTAAGAGACCAGGCAGATCCTGTTGTTTGGTTCATAGCCAGCCACCTCTTGGGCCCCAGAGGCAGTAGCCATCACCAGAAATGAACTGAGGAATGAGAGAAATAATGTCTTAGTTTTCCATTAAGGATCAAAGTAGGGTGCTCCAAGGAACTGAATAGTATGTACTGTCTCTCATGGGGCGGGGGGTGGTGGTTGGGAAATGATCTTGCATTCATGATTGTAAACTGCTAGACTCACCCCTGGCTATGTGTTAATTTGACTAAGCCATGTTCCACAGACTGAAGAATTAACTATGGATTATACATCACCTAGATGGCATGCGTGGATTGAATCTGAACACTGTTGAGAGTACAGAAAAGCTCACAATCGTGTGTGTTGGTAGTACAGAACTGAAAAGCTACATATGTGTTTTTGCTTTGCTCGAGACAAGATTTCGTTTCCTAATCTTGCTGTTGTTTATGTTTGAGCATTCCCGAGTAACTGCTTCATGCCTTCTGCTCCAGCCATGTTCAGTGAGAGAGAAAGAATGGGTCTAATTATTCCATCTACCACACAGTAAACCTTTTAACAAAGTGGAAAAAAAAGAACAAAACCAAATAAGCTGGTGCATTTTTTTTTTTAGCACTGCCTTGTAAAGACCACACAGTAGGATATTTGATGTTCAAGTGTTCTAGAAGCCTCTGAGTAGATGCCACTTTTATATTTCTTTACAACATAGCTTCTAGTCAGGGCTCTAATAACTGCAGATTAGTTTTGCCAGGTCTTGAATTTTGCATGAATAAATCCTCAGCTTTTCCTCTGTGTGCACAGTGGCTTTCTTTGCCCTTCTTTATACACATGACAGTTTGTAAGTTTTCATTGATAACGCTGTCTGTCATTAAATGTACCAGACACAATTCTTACTGCTGTTACTAGATATTAGGGTTGTTTCCTATTTCTGTTACTGTATCTAAATGCTGCTCAGTTTCTACATACTGGTTTTTTTTTCTGATAATTTTCACTGATTTTGATCAGTATGCTACAGTTTGTCGGAAACCTCATGAGTGAAAGGGAAACATATTTGTCAATTCATGAGTAAGTTAGGAATAAAGATTTTCACTGAACTGGCCACAACCATTGAGTGTTATCATTAGGTTGACATGTATCTGACTTTAGGTACTGCCCATCAAAATTAGCCCTAAAAACCATTTACCTTACGTAAAAGTAACTGATTTAAACATTATTTAGAGTTTTTGAAGATTAAACTTTCATTTTAGTATCTAAATGCAAATTCTAGGTAACGCAGAGTGTGGGATGGGAGAGTGTAGGTGGACCTGGCAGCCATTGCCCTGATTAGCATTGTATGCTCCTTTCAAGGGCCATGGCTGAGCCAGAGGTGCCACCACCACTGCATCATGATTTCCCAATGCCTCACAGCATCTCGAAATCCCTCTGATGCTGAGGCAGAAAAAGGTACTGAAGAGTAACCCACCCACACCCACAGCAGACTCCATGACAAAGCCGGTTTTCATCCTGCTAAAGCAGCTGGGCTGCAGATGCCCCACAAGGACCCATGGCCACCCACATCCTGCTCTCTAGAGGGTGCTTATCCCAGATGCTTACTTAGAATATCTTAAGTTCTGGTGATACAATGAGGAACATCTGCCACACAAAAGTGGTGTCTGTGCTATTCTCAGGACCAACGTCTTCTGTTGTATTTGTGTAAAACAAACTAAAAAGTTCACTTGTTCGGTAATGCAATTGATCAGTCAGAATTTCTTATCAGGTGTATGTATGAGTTGCCAATTTGTCTCAAAGTTATGGTTAGAGTTTCAGTGTGTCAATGAGCAAAGGCATCAATATAACACAAACAATATACAAAAATGGATCCATTTGGAGCAGGGCATGGTAGTGCACACCTTCAATTTCAGTTGTCTAGAGACAGAGCTCTGGAGGCAGAACCAAATGAAATCTCTGAGCTCGAGGCCAGCCTGGTTGGCAGAGTGGGTTCCAGAAGAGTCAGGGCTATACAGAGAAACCCTGTCTCAAAAACAAAACTCCAAACATATAAACACCCCCAAACAACAACAACAACACCACAAAACTAGCTCCACTTGGCAAACCTCAGAGTGAGTAGAGTGTTCCTGGAATCAGAGTTTTCTGTTCTCTTTTCCAAAAATGTTTTTCTGTTTGCTGGTATAATGGGGGCAAGGAAAAACAAGAGAGAAATGAGAGTTCATTCTGTTTATGGGGGAAAAACACATTGACACAGTCACATGTTTCAAAAGTAGACGTAGTTTGCTCACACTCAGAATTTTATCCTTTGGAGAAAGGTCACAGCTGAAAAGGCTCACGATAAAACAGGAAATGAGGAAGCCCCAAAACCATTATAGCCGCCATCCTGACCCCTTTCCAAAATGTCAAGTTGTTTGTGTCTGGAATTTGGGGTAGACATTCTTTCCCTCCAATTAGTTATTTGTTGCCTTAACACTTAACGGTTTTTTTTTTCCTCTTCTGTTTCGGAGATAATGACTCTGAACAGCTTCCAATTTGTGCATGTGTTTTCCTGTCGTAAATCTACTATCATAAAAGAAATAGATGTCCTGTATTTCACAGCATGGGATGTGAATCACATCAAATCGACATAGAAAATTAAGAGGGACGTTTCGTTCCTTTAAGGAAAGGGTATGGGTTTTGTTCATTCATTTTTTAGTTTAATTTTTTTTTTTTTGAGGTAGGGTCTGTGCAACCCAGGCTGGCCTCAAACTCCTTATGCTTCTGAAGATGAGCATGAACTCCTGACCCTGCTGCCTCCAACTCCCAAGCTCTGGGATGACAACTGGCACCACCACACTTGGTTTTAAGCATTGCTGGAGAGGAAGGCAGGACTCTGTGAATGCTAGCAAGCACCCTAATAACTAAGCTACAGTTCCAGGCCAGTGTGTTGGTCTTTGGAAATAAACCAAAAATAATTCTAGTTTTGCATGTGTGATGACAACCAATTTATGAGCATTTACATTAAAAAACACACATTCTCCGCCCCCCGCCCCCACCCCAGGGAGGCAATAGCTGACAAATTCTGATGTACTGTGTGTGCATGACCAAAGAGCTTCACAGCTCCTTCCCAACATGAATATCAGCTTGCATTGGCCTCTGCTCTCCTTTCTGACTTGCTGATTTCAGAGGCTGAATTAGCCAGTCACAAATGGGGAAATTAGCAGGGATAAAAGGTGTATTTTGTGATCATACTGCAGTTTGCAATCACTGGTTTTCCTACAACCTACCCGTCACACATGGGAGCTGCCACTTCCAACCAATTAAATTTCCTTCTCTCCCATTCTCTTCCTTGAACTGTTAGAAAAATTGTCTTAGCGCTTCTGTGCCCCAGGGACAGGCACTTCCCAAGGATCTCATGCTTGGGCCCTCTTCTCTCTCTTCTTGAAGGCTTCTTCCTGTTAGAATTCATCTGCCCACAGAGGTTCTTATTCACATTCTGTGGTTCTGTTCACTCTCCCAGAAAGAATAGCATATTCCACCCATCCTATTTGAATTTCAAACAATTTATTCAACAACAGCAACAACAACACAACCTTTTTAATAAAAACTGTCCACCATGAAGGTCATCTCCTTCCTAGGCTCCCTGCAGGAGAGTGTTGCCATTGGTTTTAGTCCATCTATCCTCCCATTCTTCAAAAACATAATGGAAACTTGTTTTTCCCAGACCCACTGCATAGCAGGGGCATGAGACAGAGTGGTCAGTAGCAGACGGCCATTTCCCCGCTCTTCTCCATCTTGTCCATACTTGGCACCGAGCAGACACAGCCCTGTCATGGTAGTGAGGCCCATTCTGTCCTTTCGTTCTTTAACTTTAAGGACATTATAAAACAGTTGAAGGGAAAACAGAGTTGCATTGACTCATATTTTAGAGAATTTGAATGACTCGTAGAGCCAAGAAACCTTGTGAAGAGCCATTTATTTAAATATTTCTGAAAAGCTAATCTTGAAGAAATAAATGGAATTTCCTCTTCTTGGTGATGCAATGTTAGTCCTTGCAATCTTAAGCAATTTCCTTTTACAGAGCACAAATCATTATGAACTGAGTCCTTTATTACAAAATTCCAGGTTTGTTTTTATAGCCGAGTTTGAGCCCATGCTACTTTTGTTTTTCAAAACTTTTTTTGTTACCTAGGTTCACCAGTCAACATCATCATGTTTTCCCTAAGTCAAAATAAAACTTTATATATACCTATGTGTGTGTG